AAAAATGCGTGTAGGACCCATGGCTCAGACCTTTTGCTGTAGCTGTAAACGCAATTTTACGTAATAATTAGAGCATGAAAATAAACAAATAACCGTGATTCACAATACTAGCATCAGCAGCTAGCTTGTTTTACGTGCTGGAGTGACGTATGCAGGGGCGCCGTAAAGCTGTGAAAGATTAGGAAGATTCTAAGGGCCCACAGCTGTCAGGGGCCCAAAAAAGTTTCAAAGTTGAATAAAAAAATAAAGTTTAAAAATCACAAGTACTTTACTTTGCAGTATTTTTTCTCATTTAAGACGTTAAACAATCAATCTTTTAGTCTTTATGAAATGTATATTTATTCAGAGGTCCCTACTTTATTTTGACTAATTAATTTGAACACCCCCCTAACGGCATAAAATGGTACAGTCCACCTGGCCGGGGGGCGCAGTCAGCAGAGTGCGTCAAGGCTGCAGTAAAAATATGTCTGCAAAAACAAAGTCTGGGTCACAGAAAAGGAAAGAAAGAAAGGAGAAAGAGGACAGGCAGGAGACAGGGCGTCAGTATGTCAGTTTTTTCTCAAAGAAAGGTGGGTTTAGTTAGTGAGTGGTTAAATTCAACCTGTTTGCTAGCTCTGATATCCACAGTGAGAGGAACTATGTTTCATCTAATTATGGTAAATGGGTTGTTGTCCTTGTCCCTACCAGAATCAGCAGCTGATGATATGTCAGCAGGTGTCCCCTCACAACCCAATGAACCTCAAGAAGATGAGCAATGTAGCATGTTAGCTAGCAGCCTCATTTAAGGGGGTCTGTGGGAATCACTTCAGGCTCTCTTCTCTATCAGTACCATTAGAAAGGAATATAAAAAGGCTATTTTCGGTGATAAACACATTGTTTTCCCACATAATGATAATTATATATATTAATCAGTAAAATGTATAGATTGTTTTTGATGCTGGGCAGGTGGAAGCATTGTTATTTAGTCTGTTAATGTAACATAAATTATTGTGAAGCACCTTTTTGAAGGCACCATACAAGAAAACAAACCCTCTTCATCTACTAAATACCTTGAAATGAAATGTTTTGAATCTGACTGAATTATGGGAGGTTTTACAAGATGTAATTTGTTTATGTAGCTTTTAGAACACAAACCAAAAATCAGTCATTTCCAAATAATTCATCAGAGAGCAAAAATGAAAAAAAAAAAGCTATTAATAATTGTAATAATAATAATTGGTCAGAACAAAGTATATACGTATTCATGCAAAGTTGTCCAACTTTAAAATTTTATTTAACCCTAACTGACTCCGGTTTGAACTGTGTGTTACGAGCCCTGAGTTCCCCGGCGCCCGGCTTATACTCTGCTCCGTTTTTAGCACCATGGTCACCACCATGGAGAGCGCCCGGCCCGCAGCTGATTCGCATCAGGAATCACCCGGCTGGAGCAGATAAAAATCATTGCCGCACTGGAGAGGAGGACTGGAGAGGAGAGGATTAACGAGAGAGGAGACGTGTGTTTTTGAGAGCCTTTGGAGTTTATAGTTTCCCCCGGATGATTTGGTTCCACCTGCATGGGAAAACCTTTGGGATTTAGAGCTTCGGTTTTCTCTTGCTCTTTACAGAGTTTTTGGTTGTGTGGGTGAGTTAAGTTCACCAGTGGACTTTGGGTAAGGCCTCCAGGCAAGCTCCTTTTGTTTCTGCCTTCCTTTTTGGAACCAGAGAGTTTCAGTTCTCAGAGAAATAATATTGCTCTTTAAGTTACTTTAAGCCTCAGTTTTTCCCCAGCATAAATTAAACTCCCCTTTTTTAACTCTGTTGATTATAACCAGGTTTTCTCCCTTAGGGATGCTTTATGTTAATAAAACAGACTTCATTGGCTGTGACTTGGTGTCAGCTCTTTTATTTTTACTCTCACGTTTTCTGTGTTAGACCTCCCAGGATCCTAGACCAGGTTAAGGTCGTAACATATTGGGGGCTCGTCCGGGATTATTTCGTTTTAATTTGATTAAATTGAATGATTGGTGGTGTTACTTTGAGAACCCGTGCTTTTGTTTCTGATTTTTGTGATAACGTGAGTATGTTTAATTTGAAGGAGTTTCTGGCTGCCCCTTCTCGGGACCGGGTCGAGAGCTGCAGAAAGAGAGAACTGGTGGAGATAGCTGTACACCTCGGTCTCCAAGGCATCCAGACTTTACTGAAAAAGGACTTAAAAGATTCTGTGATGGCCGCGTTGAAAAAGGAAGGTTTGTTACAGCCTCTTTTGAGTGACACGTCTACTTTGCCCCTGAAACAGGACTTCAAGGATTCTGGGGGTGAAAAGACTGGGAATGCTGCTGCTTCTGCGGGTGCGGCACCCGAGCGCCCTTCCGTCCCAGATGAACAGGACGCTCTTCCGCTGCAGACACCGCTCACAGGAGGGAGTTTTTCCTCCTCTTCCTCTGCTGCTGGTATGGAGAACGCCCGTCTTCATCTCAGGCTAGCCCGCATGAAATATGCGGCTGAGGAAAAGGCCCGACAGGCTGAGGAGACAGCCCGATTACAGCAAATTGAACTGGAGATCCGCCGCTGTGAGATCGAGGCTGAAACAAAGCTAAAGCTGAAACGAATGGAGTTGGATTACCAAGCAAAAGGGGGTGGTTCTCCTACAGACTCTGAGCACGAGAGATTAAGGGACAAACGGAGCAAAGAGTGCGACGTCAGCGAATGCATTGTTCTGGTGCCGACTTTCCGGGAGAGCGAGGTTGACAGCTACTTCACTACATTTGAGCATCTTGCTGCTGCTCTGGACTGGCCTCGGGAGGTGTGGTCCACTATCCTGCAGTGTAAGTTAACCGGAAAGGCTCAAGAGGTAATTGCTTCTCTTTCTCTGACTGACAGCATGGATTATGAAAAAGTAAAAGCAGCTGTTCTTGTTGCTTATGAGTTGGTTCCTGAAGCCTACCGTCAGAAGTTTCGGTCCCAGAACGTAAAACCCTCCACTCAAACTTTTGTTGAGTTTTCCAGAGAGAAAGCTTTAATGTTAGAAAAATGGATCCTTGCTTCCAAGGTCAAAACTTTACAAGATCTGAAAGAGCTAATTCTTATGGAAGAATTTAAGAAATGTTTGCCAGAGACGCTAGCAATATATTTAAATGAACAAAAAGTCTCCTCTCTCTCCTCAGCCGCCCTCTTGGCGGATGAGTTTGTACTAACACACCGAGTTGGTGGTAATGATCATCGGGGTGAATCTGCTCTGTCATGGTCTGCGTCTGCCCCCTCCATGTGTCTCCTGATGTGTCTCCATCCTCTCTAGTTTCCCTTCTGTGTCTCATAGCGCCCTCTTGTGTCCGTTGTCTGCGTCTCTATTTGTGTCTTCTGTTTGTAGGCCTTTTTATCATCCCCTCAGGTCCGTGTTCATCTAGTTATCCTCTGTCCCTCCAGTTGCAGCTCCAGCCTCTTCTTCCACAGCCCAGTATAGGTGTGTGTGTGAGTTATTTATGTCTCTCTCTCTCTCTCTCTCTCTCTCTCTCTCTCTCTCTCTCTCTCTCTCTCTCTCTCTCTCTCTGTGTGTGTGTGTGTGTGTGTGTTGGTCCTTCCCGCAGCCTTTTAATTTGGATTTGTAGTTTTAGGTTTATCTGTCCTCCCTTGGTTCTGTTTCCCCATTTAGGTAATTATTGTCACCTGCCTTCCCTCCAGCCTCACTCCACACACCTGCTTCCTGTTCCCTTAATTACTCCTCCCTGTTATTTAAGCCCCGTCTTGTCTTTGTTTGGTGTCGGTCCATTGTGGTAATTCTGTCAGTCTTCTCGTGTTGTCTCTAGGGTTTTGATCTCCTTCTCAGCTCTTTTGGATATATTGTTTTTTTTTTTTTTTGGCTCCAGCCCATTTGGATATATTTTTGGTTTCATTCATCCTAATAAAAGGATTTTACTTTACATCATCTCCTGCCTCGTGTCATCCTGGGTTCCTGCATTTTGGGTCCTACCAACACCGAAACGTGACACTGCTCGTCCTGTGTCAGTTAAACCCTTTAAAACTCCTCCTCCTCCTCCTCGTCCACAAAAACCTCGCTGTTATTATTGCCACCTGGTAGGGCATGTTGCGAGAGATTGTGTAATCCTCAAGCGGACGAATGAAAAATGAGGGTCTGCTACGCAGCTCGTGGGTTTTGTCTCCAAGTCCAGAGACGATAATCTTGTTTTCGGTCCTTTTATGTCAGAAGGACAAGTATCTTTTACAGAAAGCTGTGCCACGCTGACCCCTGTAAAAATTTTAAGAGACACTGGGGCTTCCCAGACTTTGATTTTATAAAAGGTGTTGCCGTTTGATGAACTGAGCTCTACCGCTCTTCCTTGCCAGTGGAAGGCGTAGCTCTTCTTTTAGGGAATGACTTAGCAGGAGGTGCGGTCATTCCTCCCCCAGTGGTGAATAATGAGAACATCTCATCTGGAGAATGTGAGGAGGCTAAAGTCGTCATTTGCATTTTTTTGACTGTTTGGGCATCGGAACGAGCCCCCGCACTGTGAGAACAAACATCCCAGCTCTAAAGCCGATCTTCATCCCCGTACGTCACACGTCACATGATCAGGAAGCAGAAAATCCATGTGTTAGGAGATCATTTTTGGGCCACTGCTGTCAAAAAGGTGAGGCGCGAACCAGAAAAGCTTCTGCCGATCACAATTCCACAACAGATTGTGAAAGAACGGATAACGCTCGAAATGCATGGATTTTTCCTGATGTAAGGGGCGAGTCTACGCTTCGTTTTGGTTGTTTTAGCGTTGACATCATCCTAGCATGCAACGCTCTGTGACTCTTAAAAAATTTGTGAAAACGCAGAAAATCGCTGGCAGCGAATGAGTTAATTGTATTATTTTTATTTTGTTTTACAATTATGTCTTGAATAAATAAGATCAATTTATGGTTTGAGTGAACATTAATGATTTATTAACGCTGGCATTTGTGTGTGTGTGTGTGTGTGTGTGTGTGTGTGTGTGGGGGGGGGGGGGGGGCAGAGGCAATTTTGTGGGGGTGGCCATGGCCACGCCTGGCCACCCTTTGTGTGCGCCATTGCACCCTCTGAGTGCGCGGCGCGCCGACCAATGAAACACGAGCCGCTCTGCTTATGTTTTCACCGCCGCAGACTCCCCCTCCCCTCCAACCTGTCCTGTCCGGCAGAAGCATCTCAGCCCATACTTCTCCGTCTGCGTCGTTGCGGAGAGTTAACGCACACTCCAGCCATGGCTGACGGAGGAGAGGAGGATGAAATCCAGTTCCTGCGGACAGTAAGTCTCGGTGTGCGCTGAGTGTGTGCTAGGTGGTAACTGCGTATTTCTGCACGACTGTGCGTGTGTGTGTGTGCGTGTGTGTGTGTGTATATACGCGCGCTTACGTAAGTGAGTGTTACATACAGAGAGCAGCAGAGGGGAGTTTACCGCAGTAGAGTGACAGCTCCTCTTCAGCCTGCATCCCTCTGATGCGGGGATGGAAGGGGCGTGAAAACAAAGTGACATGCGGAGAGGAGAACTGGGGCTAGACGAAGGTGCGGGGAGTTGTGAGAGCGTGCGTTAATCCGCTGATTGTGGGCTTTGGGCGGGATGATGCAGGGCGCAGTGCGGTGAAGCTTGCTGCATCTGCTTCACTTGGCAGAGTTTGTATGCCCCGCCCCCTCCGCGGTGCCCTGTGCAGCAGTCAGGTAAAAACGGATGTGCTGCACGTGAAAGCCCCGCACATGTTTATTCCCTTTTACGCTAATGTTCAAATACTGTTAGCTAAGTATTAACACGAGTCCAGCTGCGATGGTTGTGCATCCACTTTGTGTCTGTTCTAGACCTGCTGGTGGAGCAATGCTGGTGGCAGCAGGCAGAGGACTGCAGCAGTGTGTTAAAGTCAGCTGATCTGATACTACAAAATCCATGAAACCAGATTACTGGTCAGGAATCTCAGGATTACATCATGCAATTCCAGGAAGCTGCACCACTATGTCTATGTGAAAAATGAGATGTGAAAGCGCCCCTTGGATTCACTCGAAGCCACAGAATCAGAGAGTTTCACACTTTGGCTTCATTGTTTGAATTCCACTGCTTTCATCTCTGCCTGCCACACACTTCTGCAGACTCCGTGCTGGAGATGAGGCGAGGACACACAATGAGCGAATATAAATGGCAGGCAGGTGTGAATGTAGTCATTGATGTTTCTGCAGGTGCTAAATTCTGAGGCATCATAAATCTGTGTGTAGCTTAGCGTCGTTTGTTATTACGTGTACTAACATGGTTTTGGATGCATTTAGAGTGTTGCTCAGTTGATCTATAGCTGGCAGGTTTAGTAAAACATGCAATCAAAATGGTTTAAATATAAGAGATTCTGTTAAATCTAAACATCTACGATGACTTATGGAAAAAAATATTTAAATGCCAAGACCAAAAGTCATAGCCGGCCATTCCTAAACAAGCTAAGCGCCTTGATACCCTGTTGGCAACAATTGTTGAAACATTGTACAGCAAAAAAGCTTCTGGAAGAATCTTTTTGTTTTTACCGTGTCCTGTCTGGCTGTGAAGCAAACAGAATTGATGTCTGAATGCTGGTAACAAGCCTTACAGATTTACTCTCAGGTGGAGCATCAAAGCGTCTGCTTCTAATGTCACGCCTGATACTTAAAACTTTATTGTTGTTGTTGTTGAATGCTTTTTAATTCCGACCAGACACGGAGACAGAGGTGAAAGAGAAAGGAAAAGACAAAAGGTGGGGAGAGAGAGAGAGAGAGAGGGGGGGGGGGGGGGGTCCACAAAAATAAACAATAATGAATGAGAGTCTGCTTCTAGACCTGCAGAAAGACAAGAGCAGAAATAAAATGGGACACAACAACAATACATCAGGAGCAGGCTATCACTGCGTCAACCTGATGGTGAAATATAAAATCAACATTGTTTAACCGAACAATCACACGATAATAAATCACAGTGCATTTAGTGCCCACCACAGCCTTAAGACAAGTGTTGAACGTGCCCAAGCCCATACTTTTGAGAGCACCATGTGAGCACCTGTGTGTGTACACGCGCTTGTTTATGTAAGGTTTCTCTATAGGAGCGTCCAATAGAGAGTGTGAGGGACCACAGATCCGCCCCCTAAAGATGTGCAGGAGACGGGGGGAGCTCCAAGTCCCAGAGATCCAGGCGCTGCCCCAGAGCACAGGAACCCCAAGGAGACTGCAATCAGAAAGGTCCCCGCCCCCCTCGAGAGGCACAGAGGATCGCCCCGGGGGGCCACAACCAGCAGCCGGCAGAGTCCCGGGAGATATCAGCGGCAAGCCCACAGGCCCGCCCGCAGCCTCCCACCCCCTAGCTGTCTGAGCACGGGACCCAGCGACCCGGGACCCAGGGGGCGATCACCCCCGCCGGGGACCGAGCAGAGCCCAGGGACCCAGATCCCACCAGGCAGCCACCGGGATTGATCAGGCAGACGCCAAAAATCTTAAACCCCCTGACCCGAGAGCCATGAACACTCAGGCAGACCAAGGCACCACACTCCACACCAGTTGTGGCAGGGGGAGGGGAGACTCTTGAAGGAATAATAATATAATAACTAGACCTGCCAGCACAAGGCCCCACCCCTGCTTTTGCCATCGTCTCCTCCCTTTCCGGTCGGCTCATGGGTCCCCGGAAGAACAAATAATGAATACAAGTCAACGGGGCTAAAAGAGCTATTTTCTACGCCCCCCGTACCGTAGACCCTGGATTGCACATATGTTGTGGGGGGTGGTGGCACAGGAGTTAATTGCTTGCCCCGTAATCAGAGGGTTACAGGTTCCAGCCCCGCTCAGTCTGCTGCTGTCGTTGTGTCCTTGGGCAAGACACTTAACCCACCTTGCCTGCAGGTGAAGGTCGGAGGGACTGGCGAAGTGTATGGCAGACTCACCTCTGGCAGCTGTGGCTACATTGTAGCTCATCACCACCAGGGTGTGAATGACTGATTGTGTTGTAAAGCGCCATGGGGGGCTCCCAGGACTCTAGAAGGCACTATATCAAGTTTCGACCATGTTTGTCACGTACTTTGAGATTTATCAGCTTGTAAAAGTTTGAAATTAGCACGACTACAAATCAGACATTGGCACGTCGCGTATGTGACGTCACCACATAATCTCCTCTCCCCTAGCTTAGCGTGGCTGCTACTTACCACATGACCAGCCTTATGGTGGTTCTTTTTCCTCCTGAAGGAAGGATTTGGAGTTCGCTGAACTTACAGCCATTTTCCCTTTGTTGTTCTCCGTGTCTGGTTTGATGACGAGCTGGTAGTCCTGCACTTATTTTCACACAAAACCTAAAATAACGTTTCCCCCCGTTTGAAAATTAGCACGTTCTCGGTATCCAAATGCGTTTTTAAAATTGACGGACATCATATGTGAAATCCATGGCACATACCAAGACGAATTAGAAAATGGCGTTTTCATCCCTGTTGACTTGCGTTTATTTTCTCATTCTCTTGGGGACCCACGGTCCAGAAGAAGATGGGCGTGACTTCGGCTCTCTTTGTGTGAATCTTTCATTGAGCAGATAGACATGGCCAACGTCTCAATCCCTATTATAATCCAGTTTCATTATTTAATCTTGAAAGATCATGGCGATTTAGTCAGTTAGTCATGTGCTAGCTAGGGTTGCAAGGATTAACCAGTTTGACTATTAACCACGGTGTGAAAAGCTGCGGTTAACCCACCGTAAAGACGTCTCCAACACTGCACAAACGTTAATGAATTTGTGGGCGAAAGTGAAAGTGAACGAACGCACGCAGCAGAACCAGCGTCAACAACGAGGAACTGCTTCGTTTCCACCTAGGCAGAGCTTCAACTCTCCTGTGAGGGAATATTTTAGACTCCCAAAGCTGCTGAAAGATAAATTCAGAAAGATGCTTCGTCCATCTGCAGAGCCGGCAGAAAAAAAGGTTGTAACGCTCAACTTGTTATCATCTCTCATCCCTGACATCATCACTCAGACATTTGATCTCCAACTGAGTCAGATTACGTCAGTGACTGAACAGATTTAACAGTAATATTAGAACAATCCAGAATGATGATTCATATCGTGTTGTTCTACGTTCCCCTGTATCTGTCTACAATAACCCTGTACAGCAAGCCATTTAAATATTTAATCAGCTACATCTCATTGTAACTCCTGTTCAACATAGCAGTAATATAATTTATCCAAATAATGTTCTTACTGATGAAATTTGAAAGATATGAACAAGTAGAAATTACATGTAAGTAATAAGAAATATTCATAATAACACCTGCACTAGTAGGAATTTAGCATCTTAATTCATGAAGGTGTCTCCACCCTTCAGTGCTAACCCTGACCAGATGTCAACAGTTTAACCTTTTTGTTATTTACAGAAACTCAAAACGCTTTTAGGGAATTATAATTAAAGGTGTGGTTCACTGAAAAAATATTTTTAATGATTATTTCTGTAGTGAGATAAAGGGTTTAATTATGACCAATAAGATGTGATGATTCTATATAAATATAGAATATCAAGCTGATTGATCTTTGAATGTTTAACCAGAAGAATTTAGGATTCTTTGCTTAGTCAGGGACCATAAACACGCTTCGTATTAATTCAGACAGAGTCAAGTATATAATTAAAAATAAACTTTATTTTCTAGACTAATTATGATACATGACAAGCTATAAACAATGATATGTGATGGATGTGTGTGTGATGATGTAAAGTAGATGTTTATCAGAACCTTCGTATCTGGAAGAAACTGAGTTCTGGGTGTAAAAGAAGTTGTTGTCTGCTATAAACTAGAGAGTTGATTATTTATAGAACGGCATCAGACGCAATCATGTTGTGTCTACGTACCCCGAGGGAGACCCTCTTTTGGATCCGAGATGTCGGGGGGGGGGGGGGGGGGGGGGTGAACCCTAGATGTTAAGCCTGGTTCATGCTTCTCCGTCAGCTCCGCAAGGGACAGACACGCACGGATTGACGGAAGAGTTTTGCCCTCATACTTCTCCGTCTCCTGGAGAGCGTTGCAAAGCAATTCCCCGCCAGGACAACAGAGGGCGTAGCGCTGTTCTGTGGTATCCTGTCATGTATCGGTCCAGGATAGTGTGTTTATATTGTGTTTTTTGTGTATATAAGAGACTTTTAACACGGACATATTTGTCTCTCATTCTTCTCCACCGCTTCATGCGCTCCCCACCTCTAAACCCACGTTTCCTGTCATTTCCGTCCACAAATAAAACGCTTGCTGCGCATCTTTTCACTGCTCCAGTCACGGGAGAATTAAACG